GGTCCGCACCGTGGTAGAAAATTCATTAATGTGGAATTGTTGTCCAACAACATTTCGTTGCCACGAGATACGTAATACATGGGCTTCTATGAACGTTTGCCAGGGCTCCGGAAATATTTCGTTGCAGTGGGGATTTCGTACTCTCGGAGTTTCATTATTGCGGGTTTTGACTGTACATAGGTTGATTTGATTGATTTGTGGGGTTTAACGTCCCCAAACCACCATATGATTATGAGAGACACCGTAGTGGAGGGCTCCGGAAATTTTGACCACCTATGCTTCTTTAGCGTGCACTCAAATCTGAGCACACAGGCCTACAACATTTCCGCCTCCATCGGGAATGTAGCCGCCGCAGCCGGGATTCAATCCCGCGACCTGTGGGTCAGCAGCCGAGTACCTTAGCCACTAGACCACTGCGGCGGGGCGACTGTACATAGCTCCAAACACGAATATCGAATAATGAAGAGCTGCAATTTTTTTCAACCAATAATCTTTTACTCAATTATATATTTATGTTGGAAATAGTAGAATTGCTATTATAGTCAGTTACTGCACACAAAAATAAAAAAATGACACCATCTGTACTTGCCAGAAAGCATAAGATTGTAACAGTTGAGCTTGTAACGGTGATGTCTTTGATTCAACCCACATGTTAAACAAACCTTTTGTACCTCTTTTTTATATTACAAAAAGAAAAGCTTTCGTACCTGCCATGATAACTAGTGAGCATGAGGCCATTTTGATTGTGTAACAGTTGTAATGAAGAAGTAGTGGGTCATGCAAAGCTCGGCAAACACATTGCCAGCGCTAAGCACGAGGTGCTCGGCCCGACGTTATTGCTGCTTTCGCTGGCTAGGCCTACGCTCCTTTCTGGTCTCAAATAACAGTTCTGGCTGTCTCAGTTCTTTATTATACAGTTAACAGCCATATACTTAATTCTAAGGGATTATGAAAGCAGCCTAGGTGGTCACAATTCATCCAGGTTCCCACACTATCAGTTTTAGCTCGAAAGACCCCGACTTTATAGTTTTCTTTTTAATTTTCTTCCTTGTTCTCACCAGTCAAGCCACTAATGGAAATAGGAGTACTTGGGGCGTTTTTCAACTACACAGCAATGCTCATTATCTTGCTTGCTTCCGTTGCCTTTCTCGAGGACTGCGTGCTCGCCATTTTCTGATCAAAAATACTGTGTTAATTGCGCTGATCGCAGCACGATCATGACCGAGGTGTACCGGGCGAGCAGCGATAATGCGAGGTAAGCGTGCGAGATAGATATGACTTATGTGTGATAGAAAGGCGTCCCAAATATGCCTTTTTGTTAAGAGAGCCAGAACTCCCGGCGGCGAGGGCACTATTTTGCTGCATCAAGACCCTATTAGGCACACTGGCTGTCGATGGCAGTAAACTGACATTGGCATCGAGATTGCAGCAATGGTGTAACAGAGGGTTGATTGCAAGAGACGTCGTGCGAGCGCGATGCGCGCGTGACAGATTTTCAAAGGCACTGTCGAAAACGCAGCGGAACTATGCATTAATCCGTCCGTCACCTTATGTGCTCCGTCGTTAGCAACGAAGAACTATATGTGATGACGCCATTGTCACGTTACTCAAAGTGCATGGCCTTTTCTATGTTTGCCATTGTGTGGAAAAATACTTCAGTTCATTCGCATGACCATATCCGCTACCAAAAAATCATTCCGAAAATATGACGAGAGTATACATGCTGAAGTAACGGCACAGCTGACGGACAACTCATCAGGCTTCGACAGGTGCACGTACGCTTCCACGGCAATCTATTAGTGAAAACTAGCGTGGGCATACATGAAACGCATTACCATTGTAGGTCAAACTGAGCGCGCCCCTAGCTAGTTGTGTGCAGTGCATCGCCTACTAAGCTCACCCCATCAGCACCGCGCCTTGTAACGTATATGCGTACATTTGCACTTGCTTAGAGACTTGTTTTTTCTTCGTGCTCGCTCAGCATGAGACTGAGCAAAGGTGTGAAGACTATTTCGTCGAGCCAATGCAGCGGTGGTGCATTTTCACGAGCGATTTGCACTAGTGATCCTGCACACAAGGGTGCGGTCGCAGACAGCGTGGTCAGTATGCTTACATGAACCGCAACAGCGCTAAACCGCTAAGCCACACGTACTGCCGTGCAGGCAGTACATGACTTTGATTGATTGAGATGTTTACCGTTGGTAGGTTTGTCGGGATGACGCACCGCCTCATTTGTCGGTGCCGTCATCACGCTCCCGTGAATTTCCATGCAGGCATCACCGCACTCATGCCGAAGTTGTAGTAATCACTGCATGTCTATTGAGGCTCTTATCACAAATGCGCAGAATCGTAAGCTATGCATAGTGACATATGCGAACGAATATTTGTGAACATTGAATATTCGAGGAATATTTGAGTTAGTTCAAATATTCGAAATTTTTTAACATATGGTTATTGAATTGAATACAAATATTAAAAATGCAATATTTGCCTAATATTCAAAACTTCCGAATATCTGCACACCTCTAACAAAAACTGTTTGACCCTTTGGATGAATTGAAAGTACCTGTGTTGGATTGGTGATGATGATCAGCGTACCAGAGAAGATTTTAAGTGCCATGGCCATAGGTCGGCGAACTCACTCATGAGTCGACTCACTCGAACTCGCTCAGACTCAGATTGAGCCATGAGTCTGAGTGAGTCTGGGTAATATTTCTGTGAATCTGAGTCATAGTGAGTCCACTTGAATAAAATTGTCCTGAGTTTGAGTCCGAGTGAGTTTGGCTCAGAAAAATTTTAGTGAGTCCGAGTGAGTCCAAACTGCAAAATATATTTTTTGAGTTAGTCTGAGTGAGTTCGACTTTATTTTGCCAACAGAAGGTCCTATCTAGTCATCTTTAGAATTATTATCAGCCTTACCTGGATTCCCGTTTATACTCGCGTCTCCTCACTGGTATTCCAAAGCATTGCCGTTCATACACATTTCAATATTTTTTGGTCAGTGGGCACAAATTACGTAGGAAGTGCCTGGACCTCACGCCCACCAACTTTTCAAGGGAACTTCTTGATAAATATATCTTATGATGTCATCTATTCCAAGAAAAATAACCTTACTGATTAGCAAGCACTCAAAACTTGTTTTCGAAGATACCATGTGAAATGGCGCCAATAAGGGCACTGATTACATGAGATATTAGTGATGAATAGCACTCATGCCGTGGTCGAAGAAGCTAATTCTAGGCTAACAGACTCATGATTCGACTCACTTGGAGTCACTGAGACTTAGATCGAGCCGTGAGTTCGAGCGTGAGTGAGTCCACTTCAATAATATTGTCGTGAGTGGGAGTCCGAGTGAGTTCAGCTCAGAAAAATTTTAGTTAATCTGAGTCCAAGCGAGTCCAAAGCTCAAAAAGTATTTTATGAGTGAGTCCACCAGTTTTGCCGACCTATGGCCATGGCTGTAAGGCAACTTCAATATTTGCTAAATTTGCTATAATACAGGCTACAGTACATTATCTGTACAATTTGTTCAGTTCTGTACGAAACATCTCAACACACTCTGGCATGAAGTGCCCTTAGTGACCATCAGACATGTCATCATGACTGGCTGGTATCAATGTAGCCAGAAGGCCTTGTTATTCCTGGACACCTCTGCAAACTGGCCAGCAGAAGGTGACTGGCTTGTTGGCGATGAACAGGCTTTCTCAATAAAAAAAAATTACCGTCCAAGCACATGGATAACTAGTGAAAGCTGAAGCGTGCGGCCCTTGTGTTCCGCAGTAGATTCAACCCGAGGCTGCGCTGAAGCCTTTCACGATTATCGGTCACGTTTTCATGCTTATTAATGAGATTAGACATACGTTTAGCTTGGGCTTACCACAGTGTTTATTTTAGATGCCGCACATTGTGCCTTGCATGATTACGGTCATAACGGAGTGTAATGAGCAGTTAAATGTGTTCGCACTACGTTAATCACAGTGGTTGTTTTAAAACCAGAGGCGGTCACAGACGTCGCAGCCGAAGCCAATGTGCCGCTGGAAAAACTCCTGCCAAAAGTGGGGCATTCGACCCGGCGAACGCGCTCTCGCAATCATCACATTGACGCTGCAATACCATGTTGTTGCAAGTGTTTAACATCACGAGCTAACTAGGTGGCGCGTTTCCAGGATCCGCCCACTACCGGCGCTTGCATTCCCATTCACGATTTAATGTTGCGGCTTGGAAGGCCGCCAGACCATCAGCCTGGCGAATGCGAGCTCTCTCGTTTCCACTGTCAGCACTTTTCTATGGTTGTTTGTTGTTTACCCATGTGAAAGGTCTCAGTAGAAAATGATGCGCGCATGCTTGGCACCACTGCTGCGATGGGATGGACGACGTCCCTCACTACAGAGCCAATGGCACGTGTGATTGGGTACGAGGCTGGGAACAAGATAACTGATAGCACAGCCAATGGAGACCGCTCGTGACAGCGATGCCGAATGGGTTTTTGTTTCTCCTGGCCATATACAGCTTTCGCTATAAAGCACCAGGCCTGCGCAGAAAGCGCAATACAGTCACAGCGATAGCTGGAAGAGTGGCATTTCAAGGAGCTGTCGTAAACTCTCTTGACGCTACTAACAGTTTTTCTCTTCCCATGGTGGTGTCCTCCATTGGAGTATACATCACTGGAGCATATGTCCAATTATGCAAGGGGCAGGCTCTCACCCTTCCTTCTTCACTGCAGTAACACAATGCTGTCATGCCTGTCTGAATACAAAAATTCCAGTTCATAATGGCATGCCTACTTTTTTTTTTCTTTTGGCTACTTAAACAGTATTTCAGAATTACTTTATCCAGGGAGCTCAGAAGATGTTTATAGTGTGCTTCTTGTAGAAAAAGCAGCTAAAGAAGTTGTTTTATGGGGGAGAGCGTTAAAAAATTGTATGTATTTGTAAATTTTCCAATTTGCAGTTTTTTTTTTTTTTGTCTAAGCAAGTATGAATTTTAGAATACTATCTCACCTGTTGCAGTTCTACAAGCTCGTTGGTGTAGAGTTGGAGTTCATCAATCTGAAAGGAATTTTTAGAAAGTAATTAGCAAAACTTCTACAATGTACATATGGTCAGGCAATAGAAGTAATATGGGAACTGTCCTGCCCATTCTTTATAATGCTTTCCTCCTGCCCAATTTTATATGTTTTCTATCATTATTAAGGTTGTATGAAAATTCATACTAGTGCCTTTTTCCTGATGGTTTTGATCTTTAAGGTAAATCAATTATTGAAATTTACAGAAAACATGGAGGATTACAGAGATCAGTTCTTGCAAAACTCAGTTTCTATATTTTGATGATTATACGCAGTGCTTTATGACGCAAAGGCTACGAATGGCCAAAGATAACTATGAAATGGTGAAATGTGGAAGAAATGATTGACCAGTGACAATGGGTAAGTGTAAGACAGCTGTGTAAGGGCCTAAAACAAGGATTTTTAAGAGTGCATAAAAAGAAAGCACATAGTATCATCTTGAAAATAATTAAAGGGGTGCAGAGTGAATATGAAAATGTAGTATGAAAGAAGAATCTTAAAGATGCCAGTTAGGCTAGACACTACTACCTCACCAAGGTGCTTGCGTATAGAGGCAAGGCACATTCACTAAAGTGCAGCAGTATCTCCCCCCTTGTCAAGAAATGTGCTACAGAACTCATTTTAATGAAAATGCTATGAATCAACTCCCTTTAAAAATGTCGTAACTGATTTATGATTAAAAAAAAAGCAGTGTCCACCTAGGAATGTTGCTGGTTGAAATGAAAAAATTTCTCTAAGCTTTAGAAAAGTGCTTTTTCCTTTCACTCTTCTCAACATTATCAATAATAAATTGAGCGTGCTGAAGGTGTAGCCCATTTTGAGTCTACAACAGATTACCTTGGTTGGCAATGCTTCTGCCATGTATGGCTCATTTACAATATATGAATTAATTATTTGAAGCTTGTTTAATATTTCAGAGTCCCACATGCATATCCAAAGAGACACAGATGAGGTGCTAGCCTTGGCTGCTATGGGTGTATCAATTATTAGCAAGCATATTACAAAGCTGAAACGGGGCAGTGCTAGAAGGAATACAAAGGACGAGATGAAGACAGGACATGCAATGTACTTAAAACTGAAGCTTTCATTAAAAAAAAAACGCCAGGCCTGAGCGGAAGGCGCAGCACAGTCACAGCGAAAGCTAGAAGAAGTGTCTTTCAGAGCGTTTTCTAAACACTCATTGGGTAACTGCTGCAAGCTCACTTCCTGGGTACCCACTATGGCTTTAATAATCATAATTTCTGGGTAGTAGGCTGGCATTCGCTATGTTATCTTTTGTTATTCTTCTGAAAAGCGTGGTATCCACTGAACACTTGCAAGGAATTTTGGGCCCATTGTTCATGCAGTGGCTGACGACGATGAGGAATTATGCCTGAAGTGGGTATGGGCCACAGTTAACAAGTGATCAAAAAAAAGCTTTTGTAATGGGTTGGAGCATTGAATGACCCACTCCTTATGCTATTTGCATTGTGTGATGCCTGGTTGTTCCTTTGCTGTTATAAAATCATTTATTACTCATATTAACGCGATTCCTTTCCAGATATCAAGCCTGCCTAAGGCAAGTGTGCAAACAAGTTTCAAGCACCGGCGTTGCTCAGTGGTAGAATACTGGGCTGGCACGCAGCGGACTCGGGTTTGAGCCCCACCGTGTCCTTGGTGTTTTTCATTTACTGAGCTTTTTTTTTCTTATTTCATGAGGTAGTGGTAACGGACACTGGCGGCGGCAGACAACTATGGCGCTGCGCGTGACCCGAGTTGTTGCCTTATAACAGCTTTGGCTGTAAGTTGTCAATTATATGCAGCCATCATTATCCTACAAATCGTCACAGAAGGTGCAAGGTGAACAACATCAAGATACCAGCCAGAACACAGCCTTTTGAGAAAACACAGACATCAATCAAAACGACATGTGATATGTCCCTATGCTATACACGTGTAGATGAAGTAGTCAAATTTTTTAGAGTGATAGGATTACAGAGGCCTGGCTTATGCATTTGTCGATTAATCTGGAGATTTAATGCGCTGCGCAACTTTGACAGAGATATGGCATTTCCATTGGGTCAAAAGTAGCACCTGTTTCAAGTGAAATTTTTTCTACTCATGTCAACATAAAGCTTCGCGAATGCATAGGTGATGGTATTTGCTATATATAGAAGTATGTAGTGTAAAGGAAGACACAAGAGACAGCCCCCTTGCTGCGGGCGGGCTGTTCTTTATTTAAGCCTCTTCTTCCTCCTCTACTCGCTCGCCTAGCATGGGCGTTTGTGCCAGAGTGCCAGTTTCGATTTTCATCATCACAATAGACAATTTGTAAGTTTCAACAATTATGACAATTACAAGAAGATAACCGAAAAGAAAGTAAAATCTTTTCATAAATGGGGCCATGGTCTACAGTTCACCACCGAATTAACAAAGCAGCAACAACTTAAATATCTTGACCTATGCATCGTGTTCACTTCACAATAACTATGTTAGAAATACCAACATAGACCTAACAAACCTAACAATTCAGCCCACTGTAAGATCATCAAGAATGGCATATAGAACTTCTTTGTGTTCTTTGCTCAAAAGGTCATGCCACCATCTGGTTAAAGACAGTTTCAGCAGACAGCTTCTCAGTTTGAAAAAGGCAGGTTACGATAATTCTGCGATAACCAGTGCATGTAACATTCTCATCAAATGAGCCAAAAAAGCCAAAATGAGCCAGAAAAGACTATGCGAGTGCATGTGATGAGCGCAGAAGTCGCACCAGCAAGTTCTCTGCTGTGCATATTCGCACAGTTTTTCTCATGGACTAAAAAATGTTTCAAGCAGATACTACCAGGTGGATTTGAGAAGAATTTACCCCCTTATTCTTAAAAAATTGAATCCATCGATAAAATTTTGATGTAAAACTAATCATGTTAATAAGTATGCATGTTGTACGCTAGGCTGCATGTATATCATCATCAGCCTGACTATGCCCACTGCCAGGCAAAGGCCTCTCCCAAGATCTGCCAATCAACCTGGTCTTGTGCTTTCTGCTGCCACTTTATACCTGTGAACTCTTCAATCTCATCAGCCCTACTAACTTTCTGTCTCCCTTTAGTGCATTTGTTTTCTCTGAGAATCCAGTCAGTTACCCTTAGTGATCAGCGGTTATCCTACCTACGTGCTACGTGCCCGGACCATGTCCATTTCTTCTTGATTTCAATTGTGATGTATTTAACCCTGGTTTGTTCCCTGACCCACTCTGCTCTCTTCTTGTCTCTTAAGGCTACACCTATCATTTTCTTTTCCATTGCTCGTGGCCTCGTCCAAATTTGAGTGTAACCCTCTTTGTAAGCCTCCAGATTTCTGCTCCGTAGGTAAGCGCCAGCAAGATGCAGCTGCTATATACCTTCCTCTAGAGGATTAGTGGCAGATTACCATTCATGATTTGAGAATGCCTGCCGAATGTGATCCACCCCATCCTTATCCTTCTAGTTATTTTATTCTCATGGTTCAGCTTCGCGGTTACTACGTGTCCTAAGGAGACATATTCCTTTACAACTTCCAGTGTTTCTCCACCTATCGCAAAGTGTTGTTTCCTGTCGAAACTGTTGCACATTACTTTAGTTTTGGGGATATTATTTTCGGACCTACTCTTCTGCTTTTCGTGTCCAGTTCAGTAATCATGAGCTGTAATTTGTCCCCTGATTTAGTCATCAAGGCAATGTCATCAATGTATATATGATTCCTTTATCAAGTCGTAAAGTATATGTTGGACAGAGCTGGAGGTGCATCAACACAAGGCTGCAAGAACACCAATGTTCGCTCTCCTTTTTTAATCCCACCTCCTACCATCTAGCCAATCAATGTCTTTTGTGTGGATGTAATCCCTATTTTAATGATACCGTGATTCTTTCACATCATGATAAAGCTACAAGAGAATAAAAGCAACCCGATTTTAAAAAAAATACGTCAGCCAGGTCTCTGTAACCCTATTACCTAAATAATAAGACAACCTAATCCACACATATAGAGCATATCACATGTCGTTTTATAGCGTAAGCAGTACTGGCAAAGCTTGAGCAGCTTCACCTGGCTTATTGAGAGCCACACTATGCATGCTTGAGGAGTAGTGATGTCACACGTTGCACAGCTGGCACACAGGAAAAGGCCTGGCAGCTCCTGGAGTGACATGTCACTAGTGGGCTGCAGCTTGACTCGCGTGACCCGCGAGTCTGTCCATCCATCCATTCGCAGCTTACGCTTTGTATATCCTGGCATAGCCAAGCTAAGCCACTGCTAAATTTTTATTGTTGTGTATGTTTTTCAGAGAGGCTCTGTCTCCACTGGTACCTTGATGTTGTCTGCTTTGCACCTTTAGTGACAATTTGTGTGACAATTCTGGCTGCTTATGAGGGATGTTTTTCAATAAAAACTTCACTTGTGAATACAGTGCATGTCCTGTCTTCATTTCGTTTTTCGTGTTCATTCTAGCGCTGCCCTTTTTTCATTTCACTACTAAACCGAACCAAATTTGTGATTTTATTTGCAACTCTATTCGTTGCCCAAACTATCTCTGATTCAGCAAGAACATTAGGTAATTTTAATGTTCTTGTGCCCAGATTCCCAGCATATACGGATGTATTGCTTAGCTGCATAGCACTGCTTAATTAACCCTTTTGTGACCATTACAAGCATAATCGTCAGGCGATTTTTTAACATAATTACCTATGACTATACACGTCATCAACAAAAATGGACGCTTGCGGAACCAATGACGACTATATCTGTCGTAGTGTTTTTTCAATCTCAGATGACCCTACCTGTCTACATTTTTTCGGTAGACTTTATTTCTCATCCTCCTGTCTCTCGCCTTTCATTGCATTTCAATCGTACACGGTATCTTTTTATGCTATTAGAAAAATACACAAATGTAACTTCATTGGAATAATGGTAACGTTTCATTCAGAAAAAAAAACTCTCCAAAGAGAGAAAAAAATTTTGCCGCTCATT